GATGAAATGGAACACCAAGATTTTGTAAAATCAGTAGCAGTTAATGTCAATACAGTGATTTCTCCGTCAAAAACAATCGAAGATCATCGTCTCGTAAAAAAAAAAAAATAACAGAAACAGCAAAAACCGTATACTTTTCAATAAATTCTGAAAAATTGGTGCAAATGTCAATAGAGTAGTTGGGGTTCTCCGAACGGAAGTGTTTATAATCAGTCTATTAATACTTTATTGTAACAATCATACTTGCTGATTTTCAGCTAATTCATAATTTAATGAACAAGAAAAACAATTTGTTTTTTCTTGATATTTTCATTCTTATTTTTTCGCAATACCACGAACTAGACTCGAAGTAAGTTTTCTTAAAACTGATTGAGACTACACAAAAAAGACTTGTAAAAGGTACTAGTTATTAGGGCGCAGCAGCAAAAAAGAGTTTATTGCCATATAAACAGTAAACTAAAAAGTCAAATAAAAAACAAGAAAAAATTAAATATTGTATAGTTAGAATTAATCTATAAAAAATGTGATTTTAGAAAGTGCGAAACTTCTGGTAAAGCAATTGATACTTGTCGTCGCCGCACTTATTAGAACTCTTCTGTATTCTGAAGCGCACAATATTTTCTTGGTTTTTCAACGCAGATACGTTTCTTTCTACCACAGTTTACAGCAGAACTATGCAAACCTATGCATTTCGTTTATGTCTTTTTCAGAACTAAGCAAAACAGACAGGAAGCATATAGTTGAGATCGTCAAGGTCAGTGTGGTCACAGTGATGCGGATGCTATACGACGCTAGTATCTAAAAATCCAAAAAAATTATTTTTTTTTTTCGTAGACTTGAAGTGACCTGAACTTTTAGCAAAAATTAGTTTTTAAAAAAGTCAAAAATTTAGTCTAATAACCCAGTGCAAGCAAAGTCACACCAGAGAAGACAGTGGGAAGTAGATAAACGAGTAACACTGGAGAATCAACAAGAATAATATTTGAAAAATTCCTTTAAACATTTTTTCCGGAAAAAAATGCTTTAGTAATTATGCGAAGACATTTATTGGTAACTTTCTTCAAATCACGTTTCTTAAATAAAGAAAGGGAAAACAAAAGCAGTTAAGAGATAGACAGCTAGCAGGATTCTTTCTCTACTTCCGAGAAAGCTGGGTCACTAACTGAATTCTAAATAATTAAAACTATAGTTTGATATAGCTAGGAATAATTCATACTAAAATAAAAAATACTTTAATTGAATACAAGAGAATAATTGTAGAAAGCTTGAGTAATTTTTTTATTGTCTGATGAAGTTTTTTGAAACAGGAGCTGTATTCAACGCAACCAGATACATGTATCCAGAAACTAGTGTTGGAAAGCTAATAAATTGAATTTTTTTAATTGTCGCCAATGCTCAAATCTCATTTTATTTGATTTTTTTTAACTTCAATTGAAACTTTTGTTCACTTCATCCAGTTCTCATTGGTCCTCTCACGACCTTCGTTGATGGAAATGGTAAAAAAAAATTCTATTTTCTCTTTTTGATTTGTGCCAAAAGAACTTGTTGACCCTAAAGAAAGTGAAAAAACCGCTTCTTCAGCCAATTGTTCCCTTCAAAACAAACTCAAAGCATAACTTCCGTGCCAAACATCTGAGCCGTCTTCCACTTACCTCTGTTCAT